AAAAATTGGACAAAACAAGATAGATGCATTTGTAAATAATTAGAAAGTACAATTCAAAGGATAGTTCAAGTGATAAAGGGGACATACCGTCTTAAATTCAAATCTTGACAATTTTTTGGAGTTATACTATAATGAATTTATTTTTCATTATTACCCTAGTCCTAGTATAAATGATCTGTCTTTGATCAAATTGAAAAAAAAATTAATCGTTGTACACGTAAATTGACCCGAATACTTTTAATACGTCGAACCAAAAGAATTAGAAAGTAGATGAAAAGCTTAATATTGGAGTTTTAGCTATAACCATTTCGTATTATCACATTTAAATTAATCTATTACTGTTGGAGAGAGAAAAGGAGCAAGAAGCTGAGAGGTTAAGATAGAAGAGGGCTTGACAAATTCGAGTGAGAATGACATGATACTGTGATTAAAGATAAAGGTTACCTACTCAACTGCAAATGAATATCAGGCAATTTCTGTGATTTCAGTTGAAACAAAAAATACACGACATCAACTGCAATTTTCTCAGAAATCAATCTAGTGTGACCCACATTTCTTCACTGCCTCTTCAGCTTAAATAATTTTTTTTTCGTTTTTTGCTTAATCAAACAATGTCTTCATATATCAACAATGAATATCTAAGCTACCTACTCTGAAATTTCCAAGCTAAGCCCTTACCAACTATGAATATCTAAGCTACCTACGCCATCCATCAACAACCAAATATCCTAGTAAAGTGCTCGTACACCAAGGAATTAAAGTTTTATTTTACCAAAACTTTGAGAGTGTTCTAAAATTTATCCTTACTACTACCCTAGTTGCCAGTTTTCATTCTTGGTGTTTGTACACAGAATTTAAACTACCGTTCGGAGTTAGATAGAAGGCAATGACGTCCCTCAAATACTCAATCTCCATAGGCTTTTTAGGAAATGTCCAAATCAACTGTGACTACCGAAATTATGCATGAAGATTTCATGGGATAATTGTGAATGTAGATTTACGGTTTATAGATTGAATCACTTGTTTTAAAAAATGTTGAAATAATACTTTATTTAGTTGAATTGAGCAGACCGAATCTCGTATGTGTGTGTGTGGATATTAATATTCTTGTCTCATTTCTCAATCTTAAATTAATCTATCCACATATATCATTAATATCCACATATGCAAAATTCTATCATTCTCAAACAACCCAAGTAACATGTTACAAACCCAGAGAAGATCAACCATTTTCTGGAGGTAAGCAAACTGTTTTGTATTGATATGTATCATGAATGCAAACTTACAAGGCTCAACACCCCCCCCCCCCAAATTTTTGTTTTGTTTTTTTGTTTTTTTTGCTTTTTTTGTTTTGTTTTTGTTTTGGGTTTTTTTGGTTTTTTTTTGTTTTTTGCTTTTGTTATTTTTTGGTTTCTTTTTTGGTTTTTTTTTGGTGTTTTTTTTTTGTTTTTTTTTTTGGTTTTTTTTTTTTGTTTTTTTTTTGGGTTTTTTTTTGTTTTTTTTTTGGGATTTTTTTTTTTGTTTTTTTTTTGGTTTTTTTTTTGGTTTTTTTTATTTTTTTTTGGTTTTTTTTTTTTTTTTTTTTTGGGTTTTTTTTTTGTTTTTTTTTGGGTTTTTTTTTTTTTGTTTTTTTTTTGGTTTTTTTTTTATTTTTTTTTGATTTTTTTTTGTTTTTTTTTTTGGGTTTTTTTTTTTGTATTTTTTTTTGGTTTTTTTTTTTGGTTTTTTTTTTTTGGTTTTTTTTTATTTACACTTTCAGATCCGAAACAACAACTACGAGTCTACGAGTATTGACCTAAATCGCAGTCGCAAGTACAATTTGCACAATTATCCAACCCAGCTTCACGGATTTCATCATCCAGTCAGAACCCGTAGTCTCTGTGTTGGTCATCGTTGTAAACGTATATGAAAACTTAAGTTGTTGCATTGGATCTGCACCAACGGACGTCTCAAATACTTCCTCACGACCTAGATTTGAACGTTGAAAAAGTTCCTTCAGCGGAACCCGAACCTCGCCGATATACCCATCGCCGCCGAGAGACCGCTTATAATATAACCTGATGGTAAGCATGGTGTCATCTTGCCGACGGATGGCCGAGTTGTCTATGATGTACTTGGCCAGAAAATTCCATACAGGACTAGTCCCGCCAATCATGTCGACCGGAGTTTCAGCCAGTGTACGGATGTCGTCGTTAACTGTAAGCCTTGCGTAAACTTTCATCTTCCCATATAGTCGTCGTAAGTTTTTAAGATTGCTAGCTGATTGAAGATTCAACTCGAATCTCAGGTAGCCCATGGACTGCTTTTTCTTTTTCTTCTTCGTTTTTTCCTGGGAAATAATGAAGTGTTAAAGCTGTGAAAGAAGATAGAATATAAATGGGAGAAAAGTAAGTGTTGGACTGTGTCTGACTTGGGGAATACGGCTTTGAACTGTTTTCTTCGGTAACGTTTTTATTTTTGTATTTTTAAAATAATTAAAAATAGAGATATTTTTTGTTTCTATTTTGTGATAAATATTGAAACAAAAAATATGTTTGATTGTTATTTTTATCTATCAAATTATGAGAATAAAAAATAAAAAATATATTTGGTAACTACTTCACGTTTTATCCTAAATTTGATAACTACTTCCTAGTCTGCAGACCAAAATTTGGTCTATTCCCCGCTGTTACTTCCCTATCTATTAAGTCAATAAAAATTGCCTCTTTATTGGACGTTCATATGACTACATTTTTTGTTATGGTCAATCTCTACAACTTCACTATTATGAGTTTCTTTGTTACCTGTTTCCATCTACAACAATTTCTCAATTATATTAATAATTTCTCAACACATAACCATATTATTAATTCACAAATGCAACATGGATCAAGGTGTACAAGTAAGCAAATCAAATTTAACATCAAATCCAAGTAAACAATAAATCAAGCAACATGTACCCACCTCCTATAGTTAATTCCACACCAAAACTCACCCCTCTACAACAATTTTGTCAATTATACTAACAACTAATATAAATGGAAAAATAACTAATTAATCCAAATTTTTTTCAAAAAAAATAAAATAAAACCATGAATCCTACCAAATTCTTATTATGGTTGGTAGCGAAAAAGTATATTGAGCCATCAACAAAACCAAGAAAATTAGTGCATATAAGATTGATTTGAGTTGATTACACCACATAAGATAGTTGTTATGAACAGATATTATATGGAATTAATTAAGTATATGAATGGATCTAGAATCCGATCCAAATCCAAAAAGATTAGTGAATATACATTCAGAATTTTTATTGATCCAAATAGACTTATATCTCACGTGCTTCACAGAGAGAAGAAAGAATGTCAAGCAATGGCAACTGAACACGGACACACACAGAGAGATAGAGACAAAACAAAAATATAAATCTATGTATGTTGAGGTGAAAAAATACAGATTAAACAAGGAAAAAAGAAAAATCTATGCATATATATACAGATAAAACAAAAAAAAAAAGGGGATTTCATGTACAACTCTATGTAAATCTATGCATATATATATACACATATACATAGATCTATACAAATAAAGGGATTACACTTACCTTCACAGCAAAAGGGCGCTTCTTCGTCGATCTGTGACTGAAAATCCCTTCTCTTGAGGTAAGCCTTCTTATATTTCACGTGCTTCACAAAGAAAAGAAAGAATGTTAAGCAATGACAACTGAACACGGACACACACAGAGAGATAGAGACCAAAAAAAAATATAAATCTATGTATGTTGAGGTGAAAAAATACAGATTAAACAAGGAAAAAAGAAAAATCTATGCATATATATACAGATAAAACAAAAAAAAAAGGGATTTCATGTACAACTCTATGTAAATCTATGCATATATATATACACATATACATAGATCTATACAAATAAAGGGATTACACTTACCTTCACAGCAAAAGGGCGCTTCTTCGTCGATCTGTGACTGAAAATCCCTTCTCTTGAGGTAAGCCTTCTTATATTTCACGTGCTTCACAAAGAAAAGAAAGAATGTTAAGAAATGACAACTGAACACGGACACACACAGAGATATAGAAAGAGACAGAGAGACAGACAGAGACAAACAAAAATATAGATCTATGTATGCTATGGTGAAAAAATACAAATTAAACAAAAAAAAAGGAAGATCTATGCATATATATATATAGATAAAACAAAAAAAGGGGGTTTTATGTACAGATCTATGCATATATATACACATATACATAGATCTATACAAATAAAGGGATTACACTTACCTTCACAGAGAAAGGGCGCTTCTTCATCGATCTGTGATTCAAAATCTCTTCTCTTGAGGTAAGCCTTCTAATATCTCACGTGCTTTACAGAGAGAAGAAAGAATGTTAAGCAATGGCAATAGAACACGGACACACACAGAGAGAGAGAGAGAGAGAGAGAGAGACATACAGAGACAAAAAAAAAATACACATCTATGTATATTGTGGTGAAAAAATATAAATTAAACAAAAAAAAGAGGAAGATCTATGAATATATATATAGATAAAACAAAAAAAGGGGGATTTTATGTACAGATCTATGTAGATCTATGCATATATATACAGATCTATGTATATATATACATAAATCTATACAAATAAAGAGATTACACTTACCTTCACAGCGAAAGGAAGCTCCTTCGTCGATTTATGACTAGAAATTCCTTCTATTGAGATAAGCCTTCTTCGATCGATCTGCTGAAAGAGCTCGCTAAGACAGATAAGAGAAGAAAAGCACTGTAAGACAATTTGTTGAGTCGTGTGTTATGTGAGGACCAAACACTTAAGACCCCATATTTATACTCTCTCATGTAGAGTGGTATTTTGTGACTAACAGAAGTCAAAGTTGAGACCTTATCAATATCCACACAAAAGAGCTACAAGAAGAACAGGAAAAGAAGCAAAAACAAGTACAACAGAAACATCCAAAAATAGAACAACAGACGCAAGAAAAACAAGAGAAATCCATGGAGGAAAGCAGCAAAAAATGCAAGAAAATGAAGTGTTCAGGCTCACTATGTAGCAACACAAAGGTCATGCACAGGCCTGAACCTTCATCCCCTGAAGACCAGAAGAAGAGGGCTTCAATGGGCTTATGTAACAGTGATGGCTCCAGCAGATCCATGAAAGCCCCTCTCAATGAACTTAATGGGCCCTCTGTTTCCACTTCATCTTCTTCACTTTCTCTCTCTTCTAATTCTCCTTCTGCTAGTGGATCCTTCAGGGGGATGCCTTTTAGAAGACTGTCTGGGTGCTATGAGTGTAGAATGGATGTTGACCCTGTTCTTGGAATCACAAGAGACACTTCTCTCAGAGCTACCATATGTCCATGTCCTGAATGTGGTGAGATCTTCATGAAAGCTGAATATTTGGAGCTTCATCAAGCTGTTAGACATGCAGGTAATCTCCATTTCCTTCATTTCATTTTCTCTCTCCATTCCAAGGGCACAGAAACAAAAAAGACCAACTTCTTTAATTTTCGCACTAAACTTTTTTCTTGCATTTTGGTGTTCATTGTTTCAAGACCTAGTAGTCTAATACCCATGTCCCAATTTGGCCGTCTCTAGTTTGAATAATAATTTTACTGCTCAATCTGAGCATCTCGGTCCGTTTCCTTCATTTCATTTCCTCTCTCCATAACCTGGGGACCAAAAACACAAAAACCAATAAGTTCTCAATTTTCATATTTAAAACTTTTTCTTGCATTTTGGTGGTTCATTGTTTCAATACCTAGTAGTCTAATATCCATGTCTCGTTCTGGCTGCTTCTGATTTTTATAATCTTTTACCCATCAATGCTCAATCTGAGCATCCCCCACCAACACCAAAACCCAATCTACCCTGTTCTCCAGGCTGTCACTCTAGTTTAAATAACCGACACCCATTTCCCAAATTGACCATTTCTCCCTCTAATCACTCCAAATTTTCAATACTCATCACCGGTTTCCCAGTGTGACTTGCATGTCTCTTTCAATATCCAAAACCCATTTCTTAAGAAAACGCACACACAAACACAAATTAAGTACTTAGTTCAAAGTTCAGACCTGTAATTCACCTGTTTTCCTTTCCAGTAATGCTAATGAGGCTTAACAAATTGACTTAATTTAATGAATTAACATGATCTAGAGTATAAATTACTCTTATTTTGTTTAAAAAGTTGTAATGACTGATAATTGATTGAAATAGTGATCTAATCAAATGTGTATAAAAAAACTTCACAGTATCTGAGTTGGGTCCAGAAGACACAAGCAAGAACATAGTGGAGATTATATTCCAATCAAGCTGGCTCTAGAAACTTAACCCAGTGTGCAAAATAGACCGCATTCTCAAAGTCCACAACACCCCCAAAACCATCTCAAAATTCGAAGAATACAGAGACGCCATTAAAGCCAAAGCCACCAAGCTCCGAAAGAAACACCCACGTTGCATAGCAGATGACAATGAACTCCTCAGGTTCCACTCCACCACCTTCATGTGCTCACTGGGCCTAAACGGCTCTTCGAATCTCTGCAATTCAATCCCAAATTGCAACGTTTGTAGCATCATAAGAAATGGGTTCAAGGTTGTCGGAGAGCCCACCAGTGGAGTAGCCGGAAAAGGAATACTGACGACGGCGACGAGCGGAAAGGAGCATGACAGTGCCGGAGTGGCGTCGGAGAATGAAAAGAGGGCGATGTTGGTTTGCCGGGTGATTGCCGGAAGGGTGAAGAAGAACATGGAGGGAAGTGGGGAGGAGTACGACTCCGTTGCCGGAGCTGCCGGAGTTTATGCTAATTTGGATGAGTCGTATGTGTTTAAACCTAAGGCTATATTGCCTTGTTTTGTTGTTATCTACCAGGGGTTTTAGGTTAATCTGTGCACTTTTTTGTGTTAGGGAGTGGAGGTTTTAACATTTTTTGTATGGAAAATAAGACTACATACACGAGCCTTCCGATTGGTTTAGTGGGTTCTTGAAATTTATTGCTCAGTATTTAGATTCGAGTCTCCACAAATATGACGCTTTAGTAAGACTAAACTTATTTTTCTTCAAGAGCACGTGGTATCTTGACTTTAACCCTAACGTAAGTGCGATAGAGTTTGCTATATATAATTGTGTGGTGTTGATGTATAATATTTTTTAATAAATATATGGAGTGACCTATGTGTAAATTCGCTATATAACCAAAAAAACAAAAACTAGGATTGTTACATGATAGGCCAAAGTGTGGTATGATAGTTTCCTTCTTCATTAGAAATTTCAGCTGTAACTCTATCTTCATCAGGTTTCATGGAGGTTAAAGAGGATTAGGATCCCCTTAAATGCAGGTAGACTAAAACCCTCTTCTCTTAGTCAAATTAACCACCTATAGGTCTCCCATAAACTAAAAATCCTACTCGATAGAGATACTAGAAAAAACAAGGTAAAAAAATATTCTAATTCTAAAAATAGTCATACAACATTAAATATTACCTTCATTTCCTTTTGTGCAGTGTGCGATAGTGTTTTGTTCTTTCTGCCCTTGTTTTTAGCCTGGATTTGGTCGCGCATGAGTTCTACAACTGTGCTACATTTCAATCCCAATTGCTTTGTACTGTCTCTCTCTCTCTCAGCTGATGTTTGGACATTATGTTTGTTTGATTTTAAGTAGGGGAAAACAACATGAGATTAATGGGAGGTGTTGAAACTTGAAAAGTATAACTTCCCTTCATGAAACCATAGATTCTAAAAAGATGGGTCATATTCTTTAAATAAGGTTATTGTCTATAGCAAAATTTGTGAAGGGTAATTGGTAGGTAGGCAACAACATTATCCTCATATTGGAAAAATTGATCTTGAACTCAAATTAAGGACAGTCTGATGCAAACAAAGTCGTAAGTCTAAAGTTTTAAAATAAGACTTTTTTAATATTTAATATAATAATATACGTAACACTAAATAAGTATTGGAATCCAAATAAGTTTATTTGAAAATAATTAAAGTCGAATTTAGAGGCCAAATATAATTAAGTCTATTATGGGCGGAAAGTTATCAAATAATCAATAATTGTAGTATAATTTCATCACCCTTTTGCCAATAGTAGGGAGAGAGAGAGAAAGAGAGAATGAGAGGTGGGGAGTGAGAGAAAACAAATCTCTGAAACACATATTCTCAATGGTTTTAAACTTTTTAGATGTAATGTTTGAATATGTTATAATTTGTGTCCTCTTCCTTATATCACTAATTTCACTTTACTATTACACTATAAATTCGATCTGCACCATATTTGAAAGTTCGACATGTTAATAGATTATACTTAAATTGAATTTTATCAAATTCAAATTCAGTTTTTATTTTGTATAATTGAATAAAAAACTAATATATATCCGACTAATTTGATTCTATTTTAGTTTAAATTCTTAATAAATGATTGATTTGTTTATATATATTCAACCCGTAGTTCTCATCTGATACTAGTATTTGCGCTCCTATGGCCCATAATGATTTTTCTCATGTGGAACCTCAAAAGCTTTGGCACAGTGCTTTGCAGTTTTGGACATTGGAAGCAGTAAAAAGAACAAACACATGCCCGGAAAAAAGAAGAAGCAGCAGTTTATCAGTGAGAGAGAGAGAGGGAGAGAGAGAGTTTGTGTGTGTATAATGATTGAAGAAGAAAGCACGAGGGAGGAGTTTCTGGGTAAGGCCACGGTTCGGCTTCGATTTTAAAGATCGTAGAGACGACCCGGAGCTTTTAATACAGCCAACTGCCGCAAGCAGCAGGCATGGAGGGGACCATAACAAAGTTATAGCTACTCAAAGGATGGGTCACGAGTGTGGGGTTGACCCATCTGGACTTAGTGGACCTCACCCATGTTTCCGCACTTGGCAAAGTGTGTCCGTTGGGTCAGAATCAGCGGGCTGCAATTTGGGCTTCATGATGGGGTTGGGTCGTCATAGATTTTTTTCATAAGTCTTACGACCAAGAGTTCAAGGTTCTACGAGGTAACACAAGTGACAAGTTCAGGGTAAGAGTCAAAGGGATACACGGTAAAACTCACCACCAATCGAAGATTTACTGAAAAGATAAAGAGTATAACAAGAAGAAAATTCTTTGAATAAACCAAACACTGTATTTTCGTTCAGTATTCAAACTTCATCTCGTTCAACACTTGAAAGATCCTTATATAGACTAGTTTTTGAATATCTCTTGAAACATAGATAATAGCAGCTTGGATTTTAAATACAACTATTTAAAACTCTTGTCCAAGCCACAAAATACATAGAAACCAGAAAAAGACTATTGAAAAACTGAAGACACTTATAAATATAAAATAGGAATTTTTGGGTTACTTGGCAGATCAAACATTCTTCAATAAAATTGTTATACTCCCCGTAGAAAACTGCATCTTTTGTCATAAATACCCCCACCCCTCCCCAATTCTGGAAGAAGTTCAATGCCAGGTTTTCAAATATTTGATCAAGCCCAACCCCCCCTTTTCTCTTTCTCCTTTCTTTCACTGTTCTAAAAGCTTTTTTTTTTTTTTTTTTTTTTTATCAACGTTCTAAAATCTTCATTATTACCCAAAAAAAAAAAACAAAAAACCCTGAGGAGAAAACAAATAAGTCTAAGAAACCCTGAGGAGATAACAAATATTGGTCAAAACCCTGAGGAGATAACAAATAAGTCTAAGAAGTCTCAGATTGGTTTGATTTTGTGTGCTGGCGGTCCATTTTTTTATTTTTTTTTTAATTTTTGTGGTTCTACACTTGTAAGTTACATTCATGATACATATAAATAAAACATTTTACTTACATCTCAAAAAATGGTTGAGACACTTGATCATGTTAGTTTACTTGTTTGAGTGTGTGAAAATTTGCATACGAAGATATTAATGGTATATGTGGACAGATTAATTTAAAATCGAGAAATGAGATAACAGTACTAATATCCAAACACACATAAGAGATTCGGTATGCTCGATTCAACTAAATAAAGTATTGTCTCGATATTTTTTAAAATATCAAATTCGATCTATAAACCGTAAGTCTACATTCACAATTATCCCATGAAATCTTCATGTGTAATTTCGATAGACACGGCCGATTTGAACATTTCCTAAAAGGCCTACGGAGATTGAGTATTAGAGGGACATCATTGCCTTCTATCTAACTCCGAACGGTAGTTCAAATATTTGGTTTTTACCGTATAAAATGTTAGATTATGGGGTTGTGCAATTTTCTTTGATTGTTTAGCTTTAATTAGGGCGTGTTACCACATGACAATTTACTCAACTAAGAGGATATGTATTACCACATGGTTTTTTATTAAATATATTTCTGCTGTCGATATATTTCTATGCATTGAAAGTTTGAATTGCTAAAATGTTTATACAATCCAAATTGTTGGTTTGAATTCTGTAATAATATTTAACCCCCAAACATAAATTTCTGTCTCCACCCATGACTACTATTATGCAATATATGGAGTCATGAATAAAGAAGTTGTTATTCTATCTATGGTTTGGGTGAGGGTGGTACATATGTTGAATCTTCAATACTCTTGCCAAGTCTACACACAACTTGGAGCTTTTACCCCCAACCCATGGGGTTTTTAAAAAATATATCCAAAAGAGGGTTGTTTTGAAAGTATTTTTTAAACTCAGACAGTTTTAAAAACGTCAGTTAAAATGACGTTTTTAAATCAATAGACGTCAAATGGAATAACGTTTTTAGCATAAAAACGTCATACCAATTGACATTTTTTTTGCAATATAATGCCATATGAGACCACATAAAAAGGTTAATTGGACTGATGCTTTTAGAGAAAACATCAGTAACGCCTTCTAAAAACGTTGGTCTTACTGACGTTTTTAGTTGAGCAAAGCAGGGAAGGATGGGTTTTTTGTGTGCTAAAATTGCTAAAGGCCTCAAGTCAAAGTACACCTTCTTCCACTCACTTTGGTGTTCAATTGGTTCTGAATTTGCGGACGATATTTGTTGTCCTTTCATGAACTTGTTGGTAACTTCTTCGCAACCTATCAACAAAATTTTGTAATCATAGCTCATTGATGAATTCATTGATTATAAAAATTTACAAATTAAAATAGGACGATGTCTAAATCCTAATTTTCTGCTAAGTTTTTTGCATACCATATTATTTTAAGATTGTCGATCCGACTAACCAAAATAATTTTCAAATTTTTTTTCCACTCATAAATTTCCCAAAATTCAGCATGTTGGTGGACTTATTAGTAAGGTTTATGGTACCATTTTTTTTTTTAACATCTGTCTAATAATTTTTAACCTTAGTTCTTAAAAATAAAAAATTAAAAAATCCTTACTCATGTCAGCTTATTAATAAAAAAAGAAATATGATTGTTAAAAATAATTTATCGGTGCTAGAGTTAGATTCACAGTTCACAAATTTATTGATACTCAAGGACTGGTTGCTTTGCTGTGATGGAGTGTGATACTCAAGGACTGTTTTGTTTGGGAGGATTGTACTGTATCCATGAAGCTCTTTTAAACTCAATTCCAATGATTTCTATATGTATGAGATTCAACAATAAATTCTATGTTTGATAAGTGACATAAATACATGTAGAGTCCATGAATTTATGTCAAATCTTATTTCTCAATTGACTTAAATATTCATTATTAGGTGAATAGATAATGAGTTTTGGGTAAAGTAATCTTTTTACTTATAAATTTCATCTCTCACTTTTGAAATCCACCCTCCATGGGTTTCATCAAACTCCCATACATGGGGTAAAATTTACTATTTATATTGGATCACGATGAGCCAAATTGTTTAAGAGTAACGCTATGTAACCTAAATCTGCAACCTAAATTTGTATTCCAAATGAAGGGGAACCATTAAATCAGTGGAT